ACTAGTCTCAGACCGGCTGCTCTGTAGAACTCCGCGTCTGCCCCCCGCATCAGATTTTTTATACTCTCTTTTTATAATCACTTTACATATACTCTTGATTCTTAATTCGCAATCTGATGGCTTAGATCATATTCTTCATCCACTTTTGATAAAGTATATCCTTATCTAAGACTTATTTCCCTGGATTAAGTTAAGTGTTGCAAAGTAGTGTCAGAAATTGCAAATTGTTTTTATTTTATTGTATCTTAATTCTCTACACCCCAGACTTCAGTGTCCATCATCATCAGTCACAAGTTTATTTATTTTGATGAATCCGACGTTTCAAATTCAGTTTTAGGGGCTAAGTTTGGAATTTGGAATATTTTTTAATTTTATGCTTTTGCACTTTACGCCTCTTTTCTCACAAACAAGTTCTTAAACTTTGGAGGTGAATCGCAAGAAAATACTCTACGAAATGGTCAGAAGATCTAAACTGACAAACATCAGAGAAAGCAGGAGCGAAAATATAAATATCAACGCTTTACCTGTTATCTCTTGATGCAGCCGGCTTGTTTGTCAGAAGAGACCGCTAGCCCTCAGCAGAGCAAGTCCTGGCGAGACCTTTTCCCTCTCAAAGACTGTTCGTGGACGCCATTTATGTGCTACCCATCCTGTTCGTGACGCCATTTATGTGGTGGAAAATGAGGCAAAAATATCAAGGAGTCGAATTATGAATTGACAAAATCACAAAGTATTTATTCAGGATGCATGCAACGGTTTTTAGATAGCAGATCGAACCCAAAGATGTTGCGTTGGTTGCATACCCTTTGGGCATGGCCATTAGTCTTAAATACAATACTAAGATGGGCTGATCCCCGACATTGACAAATCAAATTAATAGATGAGAATCACACGTTTACAGAAACACGTAGAGTTAGCAGTTTAAATGTTCAAAGGTAATGTCATGACAAAAGTCAGGTCGCTCTGTACACAAAAACTGGAAGACTAGTCACGCAAGCATTAATTTAAAAACAGAATAGTCAAGCAGAAAAGATACTGAAGCATTAAGGATTTAAAACAGTTAAACTATTTAAACCTAATGAGAAAATAATTATCGCAACCACAGAATCTGGACGGCGGAACCGCGATCCTGTTACACTCCGCAGGGATATGAAGGCTCGAGCGACGGAAGTCGCTCTAACTCCAGAGGAGCAGCTGTTGGGCGAGGTAGTGCAGGAAGCGGGATCGTACACCGCCCTGGTGGTTGATGTACGCTACGACCGCAGTGCTGTCAGTCCTGACCAGCATGTGCCGATCCCGGAGGATCACTACTACTAGCTCGAGACGGTTGATGTGCCAGCGAGAAACCAGTCCGTTCCAGGAACCGGACTCTCTGTGGGAACCGCACACGGCGCCCCAACCGGTCTTGGAGGCAACGGTGGTGACCACTACGCGACTGGTGATGCACACTAGGGGCACTCCAGTTCGCAGGAATCGTACCGACTTCAAGACCTTCAGGTGAGGGAGCGCGTCTGTACAGACGAAGAGCTCCCCGACGCCATGCCTAAGTTGGAACTCGCGAGAGAAGCCATAGCTGAAGCGGTCGCATATGCAGGAGCCCGAGTGGAATCACTGAGGCTGCGGCTGCCATATGCCCCAGGAGCCTCTGAAGTAACTTCAGTCTGACCACTTGTCGAGAGGACACCGCGAATAAGGCGGCCAGCAAGGCCCGGGCGCGATCTACCTACAGGTGCGCCCGCATGCTCTCGGAGTTCAGCTCCATCCCGAGAAAGGAGATGACTCTACAGGAGTGAGGCAACTCTTTTCCCAGTTGACCCTCAGACCCAATCGGTTTAAGTGCTGAAGCACCTTGCCTCGGTGTCGGATCAACTGGTCCCTGGACGAGGCTATGAGAAGACAATCGTCGAGGTAGACCAGGATCCGAAGGCCTGCCCGGCGGAGCGGGGCAAGAGCGGCCCGGGCAACCTTCGTGAAAGTGCACGGGGAGAGGGCAAGACCGAAGGGTAGGACCTTGTACTGGTATGCATGGCCTTCCAAACAGAACCTTAGAAAGGGTCTGTGTCTCGGAACCACTTCTACCTGAAAGTACGCGTCCTTCAGGTCGATTGTCGCGAACCAATCTCCAGGACGGATGCACGGTAGAATGCAGCGGACCGTCAACATCCGAAACCGAAGCTTGGCCAGGCTTCGGTTCAGACGCCTCAGGTCCAAGATTGGTTGCAGCCCGCCTGATTTCTTGGGGACCAGGAAGTATGGGCTGTAAAACCCAGGTTCCATATCGGCTGGAGGGACCGGCTCGACAGCTCCTTTTGTCAAAAGGGCGTCAATCTCCTCTCGCAGGAATGAGGCACCTGTCCGGGGGAACGGGGTGTGCACTACGCCTCGAAACCTGGGGGCTTTCACGAACTGAATCGTGTAGCCCTGCCGGATTGTCCGGACCACCCACTGTGAGACCCCGGGAAGCTTCCGCCAGGCTCCCAGGTAAGCTGACAGGGGTACTGGTCGGGACGTGCCGATGGTCGCCAAGGCGGGGCCGCCGTGAGGCGGACTTGAAGGCGGAATCACCAGGGACGAACCCTGGGAAATGGTCAGATGAGGGAAGGGGAACTGAGCCCCCGCGCTCTCTGCCATGGCCAGTGGAACACGCGCCCAAGTCTGGGTCTTCGTCGGAGACCGAGGAAGATGAACCCCAGACCGCAGGGCATGCGGTTCCACTATTCTCGGGAAGTACATGAGATATGTCTTTGACACAATAGGTGCCGCCGTCCCGAAGGACGTCAGCGAGGAGTGTGTGGTGGACTCCCCCCCTCCAAGGGGAGTTGGGTCGGTGACTTGACCCGAAGAGCAGCTCATATATTCACGAGTCGCCAACCTCAGGGGCGCTTCTTACTAGAAGCCCTCGTCTGCCTTCGAGAACCCTCCGAGGTTGACTGCGTCTTCCGCCTTGTAGAGGTCTTCCTCGGACCAGAGGTCGAAGTCGCAACTTACCAGCTTTGGAGGGAACAGTCGGACGAGACCGCCAAGCGGCAGCACTGCCGGGGCACAAGTGCTCCGGCTCTGCCGCGACCCAGGAGGGTGGCAGCGGTGAGCTGAAGGACTCCGAAGAAAGCGCCCCTTCCGATGCTGCGAGGGAAAGCAGATCGTCGGCAAAGTCACACGAGGGCCCAGGCAACGCCGAAGCGCTATCCGAGTCCCCCGCGGACCAGACGGGGAGCACACTCGGGCTTTGGGGACAGTGTGAGGGATCGCCTGACACAGATCGACCCAAAGCCGCAGAAGAGGTGTTTTGGGACGGGCCCCTTGGAGTCGAAAGATCACCGGGAGCCGAAGCTCCGGTGTCCTCCTCCTCGAAGAAGGACCGCCTATACCTCAGAGTGCGCGCCGAGAGAGCGTTGCAATGCACGCACTCTCGCCTCACAAGAGCAGCACAGGCGTGTTGGAAGCCCAAACACTCCACGCATTTCTCGTGACCGTCCTTCGACGAGATAAACCCAACACAGCCAGGATTACAGCACGTTTTGCTTATCGTGTCGAGAAAAATGGACAGGATGTGAACAAACGGCTAACAACAACACTGGACAGGCTAATGCCGGAGGAGACAGAGGCGCAGCGACAGACTGCAAGACTTAAAGAACATGATGTGCATGCTTTTACTGATTTGTCGTTAAACTTTTCAAGTTAAGATGTAACATGTGCTAAAAAAGTACCCAGAGTGCAAAGAAAAAACAGATTAAGATTGTACTTTATTACAACGCGTTCGGCTGTTAACTGAAAGATTGGTGGTTCAAGCCCACCCAGGGACGGTCTATGCTTTTGTCTAATGATCGAAAAGTTTTGAGTAAATTGAAATTCATGTTTTATCTTCACCTACCTCTCATGCTCTACTGACTGAACTAGCCAGGATGACATGCTACCTAGTAAAAATTGCCAATGTTGGAGCATTGGATTTGTAAAATGGATTATGTGTTCAAAGTTTGTTTGAGAAAAAAAAATGAATTCATACTTGTCTGTGTGGTGCAATCGGTTAGCGCGTTCGGCTGTTAACTGAAAGGTTGGTGGTTTAAGCTCACCCTGGGATGAACAATGCTATTGGTCATTGATCAAAATGTTTTTAAGGCTCGAACCCACAACCCTTAGATAAGGAGTCACATGCTCCTCCAACTGAGCTAGCCAGCCTGATATGCAACTAATTAAAATATGGCTATTTTTGAGCTTTGGACTTATAATATGGATTATGTACACAAAGTGTGTTCAACAAAATGCGTTCGGCTGTTAACCGAAAAAGTTTTAAGCGAATAGAAATTCATGGTTTATTGTCATGCTCTACCAACTGAGATAGCCAGGCAGGCCAAAAACAAATAAATTCATAGCTGTCTCTGTGGCGCAATTGGTTAGCGCGTTCGGCTGTTAACTGAAAGGTTGGTGGTTCAAGCCCACCCAGAGACGATCGATGCTTTTGGTCATTGATCGAAATGTTTTGAAGGCTAGAACCCACGATCATTAGATTAAGAGTCTCATTCTCCACCGACTGAGCTAGCCAGGCAGATATGCAACTAGTTAAAATAATGAATTTGTAGCTGTCTCTGTGGTGCAATTGGTTAGCGTGTTTGGCTGTTGATTGAAAGGTTGGTGGTTCAAGCCCACCCAGGGATGTTCTATGCTTTGGTCCATTGATCGAAAAGTTTTGAGTAAATTGAAATTCTTATAATATGGATTATGTAAACAAAGTGTGTTCAACAAAATGCATTCGGCTGTTAACCGAAAATTTTTTAAGTGAATAGAAATTCATGATTTATTGTCATGCTCTACCGACTGAGCTAGCCAGGCAGGCCAAAAATAAATGAATTCATAGCTGTCTCTGTGGCACAATTGGTTAGTGCGTTTGGCTGATAACTGAAAGGTTGGTGGTTCAAACCCACCCAGGAACGATTAATGCTTTTGGTCATTGATAAAAAAGTTTTGAGTGAATTGAAATTGTAGAAATTGATGAAAATATTATGCACCCAACATGGGGCTCGAACCCACGACCCCAGGATTAAGAGTTTCATGCTCTACTGATTGAGCTAGCCAGGCTGACATGTTACACAGTAAAAATTGCCATTTTTGGAGCATTGGATTTGTAAAATGGATTATGTGTTCAAAGTTTGTTTGAGAAAAAGTAGCCCCAGCTGTCTCTGTGGTGCAATCGGTTAGCGCGTTCGGCTGTGGATTGAAAGGTTGGTGGTTCAAGCCCACCCAGGGACTATCTAAGATTTTGTCCTTTGATTGAAAAGTTTTGAGTAAATTGAATTTCATGTTTTATCTTCACCTACCTCTCAGGTCAAGCAATACCAGAGTCTTATGCCCTACTGACTGAGCTAGCCAGGCAGGCAAAAATTTAAATAAATTCATAGCTGTATCTGTGGAGCAATCTAGATTAAGAGTCTCATGCTTCACCGACTGAGCTAGCCAGGCAGATATGCAACTAAGTAAAAATTGCCAATTTTGGAGCTTTGGACTTATAATATGGATTATGTACACAAAGTGTGTTCGACAAAATGCGTTCGGCTGTTAATCGTAAAAGTTTTGAGTGAATTAAAATTCTTGGTTTATTGTCACCTACCTCTCAGGTCAAGCAATACCAAAGTCTTATGCTCTACCGACTGAGTTAGCCAGGCAGACAAAAAATGTAATAAACTCATAGCTGTCTCTGTGGTGCAATCAGTTAGCGCGTTCGGCTGTTAACTGAAAGGTTGGTGGTTCAAGCACACCCAGGGAAGAGCAATGCTTTTGTCCATTGATCAAAAAGTTTTGAGTGAATTGAAATTCATGGTTTGTTGTCACCTACCTCTCAGGTAAATCAACACCAGAAGTACAAGTGCAATAAACTAAATTAAACTGCCCTTAAGATATTAAAGGGTTACATGACTAATTAAAATTGTAGAAAGTATAGAAAACATAATGCGCCAAACGTGGGGCTCAAACCCACGTCCCTAAAATTAAGAGTCTCATGCTCTACTGACTGATCCAGCCAGGCAGACATGCAAGCAAGTAAATTATCCAATTTTGGAGCTTTGGACTTATAATATGATTATGTAAACAAAGTGTGTTCGACAAAATGTGTTCGGCTGTTAATCAAAAAAGTTTTGAGTAAATGGAAATTCTTGGTTTATTGTCTCTCAGGTCGAGCAACATCAGAGTCTCATGCTCTACCGACTAAGCCAGCCAGGCAGACATGCATCTAAGTATAAATTGCCAATTTTGAAGCTTTGGACTTATAATATGGATTATGTAAACAAAGTGTGTTCGACAAAATGCGTTCGGCTGTTAATCGTAAAAGTTTTGAGTGAATTAAAATTCTTGGTTTATTGTCACCTTCCTCTCAGGTCAAGCAATACCAGAGTCTTATGCTCTACCGACTGAGTTAGCCAGGCAGACAAAAAATTCAATAGATTCATAGCTGTCTCTGTGGTGCAACCGGCTAGCGCATTCGGCTATTACCTGAAAGGTTGGTGGTTCAAGCCCACCCAGGGATGATCTATGCTTTTGTCCATTGATCAAAAAGTTTTGAGTGAATTGAAATTCATGGTTTGCTGTCACCTACCTCTCAGGTCAATCAACACCAGAAGTACAAGTGGAATAAAATAAATTAAACTACCCTTATGATATTAAAGGGTTATATCACTAATTGAAATTGTAGAAAAGGGTGAAAAATTATCCGCCCAATGTGGGGCTCAAACTCACGACCCTGAGATTAAGAGTCTCATGCTCTACCGACTGAGCTAGCCAGGCAGACAAAAAATTGAATAGATTCATAGCGCATTCGGCTGTTAACTGAAAGCTTGGTGGTTCAAGCCCACCCAGGGACGATCTATGCTTTTGTCCATTGATCGAAAAGTTTTGAGTTAATTGAAATTCATGTTTTTTTGTCACCTACCTCTCCGGTCAAGCGACACCAGATGTACTAGTGGAACAAACAAAATTAAATCACCCTTAAGATAATAAACGGTTACATTACTAATTGAAGAAAGTGATGAAAACATCATACACCCAATGTCGGGCTCGAACACACGGGCCTGTGATTAAGAATCTCATGCTCTACTGACTGAGCTAACCAGGCAGACATGCCAACAATTAAAAATTGCCAATTTTGGAGTTTTGGGTTTATAAAATGAATTATGTATACAAAGTGTGTTCAAAAATTTCTTCCATAGCTGTCTTTGTTGCACAATCGTGTTCGGCTGTTAACCGAAAGGTTGGTTATTCAAGCCCACCCAGGGGGCAGGTCTCTCACTGTTGTTGCGGTCTATGGGCTGAACAGCAGTGTAGAATACCCGGCCTCCTTGGGGCTCTTGGAAGGGATGCTGGAAAGTGCTCCAACTGGGGAGATGGGTGACGACAGAGACACCTGGAAGGGTGTAATTGGTAGGAATGATTTGAGTTAGATAGTGAAGGTTATTTAGTGGGCTGAAGATTTCCTTTTGTTGCAGTCTAAGTAAGTGGTTGGAGTTCAGTTAGAGAGTTTTTATTGAAATAATTATTATATAATGGTTATATAAAATAAATTTTATACATTCATGTCTCTAACACTCTGTTTCTTCCTCTGTTTTTTCTAAACTAACCATTAACTTTAATGTGAGCTCTGTGAAAATACAGAAGATTAATAGAAGATTAGGGCCGTAACAACTGCTTAAGCAGTGGAACTTGTATGGGTGCTTCTCCTGGCCCTAAGCCAAGAACAATTCCTATAGTATGGGGAAGTCGCGCAGCAATGGCTGAGAGACACAGCTCTTCTGATAAGAGAAACAGTGAGAGTAGGCCATCCTACAGTGTCACATATGTCTTGAGTGAGTGCCAAGCCAAATTCCATGAGGCGTCAGGCTGTGCACGAAAATGGGCCCTTAATGCTGCTTAAGACAGTGTTTCCGTTACATCATCCTGGACATATGGAGAACTGTTGAGAGCACAAGGCTTCCAGGTTCGGTCCACGTAGCTAAGAAGCTCATAAGAAGCTCACCAAACCCTGGACTGGTTCTGCTTCTTTCCAAGGCAGGAGTCATAAGGTAGCCATCAGTCTCTGAGTGGGGAGCTGATGGATGAATTCGGGCCTGGTCTTGGTGGTATACAAAGAAGACTCAGGGCTGAATTCCAAGCAGGAATCGTTGATGGACAGTATGTGGAGAAACTTGACTTACTCAGGGAGACCAGGCACAGTCCTTAGGGAGGACTGGACCCAAGGGCTCAGGTGACATTTGCAGGCCCAGAAAGGAGAGGAGAGGTCCCAGAGGGTCAAGAGGAGGTATAGCAGCTATAGACTGCAAGGTGAAAGGTGAAAATCGTGGCAGGGATGACCTTGAGAAGCGATCGGAACCCTTCTGGAAAGGTCAACACAGTACTGATCAGCATGTCCCAGGGTTCCCTCAGTAAGACCCTATCATGTACTCAGTAGAGGGCACGAAAGCATGGCGTGGTCTCTACCAGGGGGTGGAAGGACAACGAGAGCCAGTTTCCTCAGTTTCCAAGTTCGCTACATGCTACCTTGAAGTCCAAGCAACATCTAGAAGAAGAGCTTAAAACTTAGGTAAACATTACAAATGTCTGTAGAGAGGACGAGCATGTTTATCTTTCCCTAGTCTACACTACATTTTTTTTTATTTTAGATAACTTAGGTAAGATGGCTGAACTAAAGAGAATTGTTTTTCTCAAGTGTCTATGTAGGAGGGATTAGTTAATTTTTTGTTATTTACTCAAGTATGCTGACTGCACTAAAACTCTGATGGCAAGGTTATCAAAGAAAAAGTTTGGTTATTCTTGTGCATCTACTGTTTCTTAGCATTGCTCAACTCTAAACCCACAGCAAACAGAAATCGAACTGAAGCGTGGCTCCAAAATCGTGAACCGAATCATGCCTTTGGTGTATCGTTACATCCTAATAAAGACATGATCTCAATTGATTAAGAGTAAAAAGAGAGAGTTTTATTTTACACGAAGCTCCCAGCCAGAGCCACTTAACCTACTTCTCCCACATTTCTCATGATTAAGTGGCTTGTGGTGGAATAATTAGGCAACATCTATAGCACCTATCATTTGCTGATGACACACATGAGTAAATGGTTGTTTTGTGTATCTTTAGTGTTGAAATATTCCTTGTCAAAAGTTTCTGCTTTGAGATTTTGGCTGAGTTGTTCTGTTCAGAGCATCGGTGGTGACTACATTGTTAACAGTCACTTTAAGAGCATTGTGGTTTTTCAGAAGCGGACTCGAACCCTCCAGGAGAAAGTGGTCAGCACCTTGTTCTTCTTCTTCACTACACAGGTGAAAGTCCCTTCATTGATTGCATTAGCCACAAGAGTCATGTGATCATCTTTCAAGGAGAAGTATCCGGGGTGAGAGAACTCCAGAAGCTCTCCATCCTTATACCAGCTGTCAGGGCATAAGATAAAAGTAATGGTAAGTAGATTCTTGATATGATGTTTTTATCTAAAAGTTATTTTACAGTGCTGCATTTTTTCCCACATTTTTTAAGTTTCAATCTAAAATATAGCCCTTTTGTAAAGGTACAGTATTAGAAAGACTGCTGGTAAAACGTTGGCACCACTGAAATTCTCATGGGAAAACCATACAGTGTAAGTGTGCACGGTGCGGCTTGAACTCACTAGATTTTTCCCTTCTTGTCAGCAATCTTTTTCCCACAGCGGAAGGTCAACTTCTTGCCCTCTGTTACTAGTTTGAGCTTGGTGCGAGGGGGCGCTGGAGTTGGCTGAGTCGTGGGAAAGGGGAATTCTGTCCGAGAGAGGAACACTTGTCAGATTCAGGAGCTCTCTCTTCCATTAATTTTAAGTTACATATACTCGAGTAAGAGATAAATCCCTCTTTTTCTTTTTGAACCTTTTTTGTCTCATAAACATTTAAACTGTTTAAAGAGGTCATTAACTGAGAAACCGAAAAAGGCATTTACACCAGTGACCGTAGACAGCCAAAACAGAGTGTCACACATAAGTTTGCCATTGCTAGCCATAGACACAGATCTCAAAAGTGCATCACTTCAGAATAATCAAAAGTGGGCCAAGGATGCACAGAGACCTGTTACAGTCAATGAGTGTCACTTAATATAATAAGTAATAACTTATTATTATGTTGGCTTGTCAAGCCAACATATTGTTATTGCTCCTAAACTTTTATTAAAATTATTGTTCCGCTTCTTTTTCTTCTCATTTCTTCTGACAAAAAATTTTAACACTACTCCTCCTAGCCTGTTCGAGCTACAGCCACGAAACATCCACGGTCGTCCAAGCTGTTCCTACTCAAGTTACTATATCTCTTTGGAACGATTGGACCAGCAGTTTCTTTAAAAATCGCAAAATTCGGCCCAAAAAAATCTGCCAAGTCATTTCCTATGGTGTCTTGTTGACACTTGCACTGTTTTCATAACTAAAAATTCACCTTTTCACACCCATTTTATATGTAAATGGAAGAGATTTTTGTCCTCTTTCAGTTGGTGCTGTTTTCATGTTTAAAAAACACACGGTTTTTACTCCAGGTGCCCTAAACCACAAGGAGTGCACATAATTGCTCCATTCAAAATCCTTGCAGATAGTGTTTAAAATCTCAATTGAAGGCTATTTCTAACTCGCCATAAATCATTCAGACTTTATCACAGCTTCACATGTCTGGTCCATGTCTGGACCATGTCTGGTCCTTCTTTTGTAATCCTTATTTTTTTCGAGGTATGGCTTTCTCAGAAATGTGTTGTTGCAAAGAATCAAATGAAGGCTATTTCTAGCTCGCCATAAATTTTTTTATTTCTAATCACACCTCAAAATTTACAGCATTCTCTTCATTTAAGTCTTCTGCTTCGGACAAAGAAAGAATCGTTTCAATATGTCTTACAGTTCTGCTGTAATCTTTATTTCTTTGAGGCATGGTAATAAGATTCTCTCCAGCAGATATGGCATCGTTCAAAAATTGGCCATTTAAATCCAGGTGTCACTGATTCAAATAAATAGGTCAAAGATGTTTTTCATTGAGTGTCTTCAAGGCCCATTGAAATGAATGGAGCATGAATCCCATGGATCCTATTGTGAAAGAGCTTCTGTAATTGGTTGACACTGGAAAGTCATACTAGCATTAAGGGAGCAAATCACTTATCAGCCAATCATAGCATAAAATTATTAAGCCACGCCCACTTTTTGACATAACTTTCAATGTAAAATATCTACTAAACACAGTAGAGACATGGGGGTTCTTTACATTTTTCTAAATGGAAAGTAGATAACAGCATGTAGTCACTGACTCCTCCATAGCAACCAAATTGTTTACCATAGCAACTAAACTGTCATATCTCTATCTTAGCTTAGGAAAATGCTAGAGACTTGGGGGTTGGTAAGCTTCACCCATAGTGACAGCTGAAACATTATATTTTGTCAATGACACCTCCATAGCAACCAGACTGGCTACCAAAGCAACCAATATGGCATGTCTCTATCTCAGCTTAGGAAAATCATAGAGACATGGGGGTTGCTGTATTTTACTCATATTCATATGGGGAACAATATTTTAGGTCAGTGACCCCTCCGAAGCAACCAGACTGGTTACCAAAGCAACCAATATGACACATCTCTATCTCAGCTTAGGAAAGTCATAGAGACATGGGGGTTGATGTATTTTACTCGTATTGACATGGGGAACAATATATTAGGTCAGAGAACCCTCCATAGCAACCAGATTGGTTACCATCTGGTACTATTTCAGCTTATTAGAATCATAGAGACATGGGGGTTGGATTTTGTTGTTGTTGCGGAATTGACAACATAAAAAATAGGTGTTAATGGCACCAACACAAGCCAACATCGACGTTTGCGTGCAAAATTTTAAATTTAGTTGTTATTGAGCTCAGAGAAAAAAAAGTATGAAAGTATGAAAGAGGCCCCTCTCACCATAGCAGAAGTCACAGCTTTGAGGACAGTGTTTCTGCATGAGCTTCCTCTTGCTTTCACAGTAGCCTTTCCTAGCCCAGGCAGGGCAGATGAAGAACCGGTCCAGACACCCTGCGACAGACGCAAATGTATGCTCAATTTTAACAGGAATATTCAGCAGAAAAAGAAAACCCATTTCACATGT